CTTTGGAGAACTTCGGCAGGACTTGGAATTGACCCGATACATTCAAGTTTATCGATAAATTTCAATGATTTGATACATATCGATAGTTCGATGAATTTCAAGAACACTAAAATTCGATAACTCAACAAAATTCGTTAACTCGACTAATTTCGATAACTGTGAAATTCGATGGCTCGATAAATTTCGATAACTCAAAAATGTAAAAAATTTGGATGCCTTTATAAATTTTTCGAAAACTATCTAAACATTTTGATAACTCGTTAAACTCTGTTAAGACGATTAAATTCGATAAGCAGTGATAAATCGATAAGCTTATATAACCTTGAAATTTCGATAAAGCTATATATTTTGAAAATTCCATAAACTTCGCTTCGTTGGACCAACTAATTTCAGTAGATCAATAATTATCGATAACTCTGTAAGTTCAAAGAACTCCATGCATTACGACACCTCGATAAATTTCGTTAAGTAATGATAATTCAATAAATATCGATAACCTGATACATTTCTTTAACTTGACAAATTTCGTTAATCCCACATGTTTTTATAGCTCCATAACTATCCGTATATTTGGGCTACTTAGTTTCTGTGTCTATAAATTTCGACAACTCAGTAAACATTGATCAGTTTGAATAATTCGATACGTTGCGATATCTTATTAAGCATGGATAAATTCCGATAATTATAAACTTCGATGATTCAATACATTTCAGTAAACTTTATTTCGATTCCTATCGGAAAATTTTAACTCTGTTAACCTAATTCTTATGTATTTATCATCGTTATCATAGTTTATGTCAATTTTCGTCTTTATCTTCACTTTTGCCTTTTTTTGTCTCCATCGTTATCAATGGTTTTTTCATTTTCATATTTATCTTTATTTCAAAGTTTAATTTCAAATGCGAAGTAAAACAGAATGCAAAACAGCTTAAATTGAACAAGCTGCAAAAACAACCATACACAAATATGGAAATTTTTAAACGTCGATTTTCAACCAATTTCGATACTATAAAAACTCTCCTCATCTACAGAAAATTACCTTTCCAATGGTGTTTTTGGTTTTGAAATCGGTAACTTTACCTTGGTCTTCATCTTTTGCAGAATTTTCTTAAATTTTGCACAAGGTTTGGATCTCTGATTTTTGGGGATTTTGTTGTAGAATTGACCATATTTTTATAAAAAATTACCGAAAACTAAAATATTTAAAAAATAGTTGCCCGTATTGTAAAAAATTCATTGTACCTAAACTTTATTGACTGACTGTATTAAGGTAGCTGTGCTGGATTGCATAAAAAAACAAATTAATTTGTCTTTTCTTAAAAAAAAGGTAGCTCTGGTGGCTTGCATTTTTAAATAAATTTAGTGAGAAAGTGATAACTATTTTGACACTTTTTTTTTTAAATGCCTCTTTTTCTGCAACTGCATTGCCTTTCTCAATTGTCCTTCAGGATCTTGGCCTTTGTTTATGGAATCACTAAGTATAATGATTATTAAGCAACTCAACTCAGCGTGATTACCGACATATCCTTTTGAGAGGTAGCCGCATCCTTATAAGAGGAATAAGACCCAAACTTTTCAGGTCAAAATTTCAGTAGGTTGCGTCTGTATGGCCTTTTCAATTTTATAAATTATCATTATTTTTAAGTGGAAAAATAAAACTCAAAATTAATGATAATCCCTGAGCGAAAAAATAAAAATCATAAAATAATCATTATTTGTAATCCCAAAAATAAAAATCAAATAATAATTATTTCCGTTTGATTTCCCTACGTTTAAAATTTGAAATAAAATAGTTTAGTGAAATTACCACATTTCACTGCTTTTGGCCTGGTGCGGGACTAGTTACTATCGTACTGAACTAGAAATTTGGTTCACTAGTTCGTGTTTTCCCTACAGGGTAATTTCAAATGTGAAGTGAAACAACATGCGAAACATGTCAAATCAAACATGTTGCAGCAACATCTATACACAAATACGAAAAGGTTTAAACGACGGCTTTGGCCAATTGTGAAACCATAAAAACCCTGCTCATCTACGGAAAAGTTCTTTCCAACGGTGTCCTTGGTTTTGAAATCGGTTCGGTAGAATCGCCAAACGAACGGAGACAAAATTTATATTAGCGTACTAGCAGACCCGGCGAACGTCGTCCCGCCCAAAATTAGATTTTTAATTTAACCATTTTGATCCAACATTTTCTCCAACAGTCCACGCTTACGATTTCCATTAGCACATTCATCGGCTAAGATTATGGTTTGGTGGTCGTTTGCCACCTTAAATAACCTGACGATGGTGTTATGTCCATGAAGAAGTTCTCTGGCGGCAACAATGATCCGGATCTATACTAAATCTGCCCTAGAAACTTTATAGCACGTGGCAACTTCAAAATGGATGCGTATCCTTGTTCAACAGAAATACAATATACATACATAGACTGAGATGAAGTACCTTAAAAACCAGTTTCACGAAAGCAATTTAAGTGAAAAATTATGTTTCTATCAGGTTCTATATTAAATTCAATTAAAAAAATATATTTCGACAGGTGGTGATTTGAGATTTGCCACTGCACAACTTAACCCTGGTGTGTCGGAATGAAGCTTTAACGCATAATAATATTGGCAAATCACATCCATTGGGCCAATCGTAACACACGAGAGTTCGATATACTCAATGGTGCAACAGGTCGATTTAGACTGACATTCTCGGCACCTTTTCTCGCGTATCGATTTTAGTAATAACTCGACCTCAGCATCACCTCACCGCTCTTTTTTGCAATTGGACATTCTCAACCGTGTCCAGTACATGTTTTGAATATCCGCCAAATCGGATCATAAAAAAAGATTTTTAGTAATAACTCAACTCCAGCGCCAACTGGCGTGTTCAATTGTCAAACTAAACTATCCAGAGACCCACTCAAACACACACACATAACTTTGTTGAAATCCCTCCAGCCATTCAGGATTTCACTCACAAACATACCTATGTACACATTCAAAGATAAGGCAAAGGCAGTACCTTTGTACTTTGCCATTCCCTCTTTTTAAAGAGAACATTTCCAGAGATATCTATATACATAAAAATTACCGCGATGCCTAACCAAACGGCTGAACCCATTTCAATTATGTAAGAAGTACTATTTTGGACCCCCGTGTGGAAGGTTTTTCGAATAAAAAAAATCAAAACTTTGCCAAAATATTAAGAAAGCTAAGACGCCACGATTTCACAATTTCATAGAGCTTTCCGTGTACAATGATAATCGACCATCCCTATTTCTAAGGAAAAACAAAGTTGTTGTTTTTATTAAATTCTTGGCATTTTTATCATATTTACTCACGTTCTAAACCTTCCCTGGACTTCCACAAATAATTCAAGACCAAAATTAGTCAAATCGGTCCAACCGTTCTCGAGTTTTAGCGAGACTAACGAACAGCAATTCATTTTTATATATATAGATTAATATATAGATAGAACTCAGCTCTGTAACAATATAATTTTAAAATTTTCTGACATATTTTGCTCGTAGCTGGAAAAAAACATTCAACATGAAAAATATTGTTACTATTTATGCACATTTTGTACATATGTAATTATTTTTAAGACTGGTTTTATTATGCTACTGTAATGATGATTAATAAAGAAATATTTAAATATGGACATACATATATGATATTTATACTTTTAACAAACGATGTACACGTATTAAATTGAAAACTTTAATTATTCAATTCCTTTAAATTCAGGGCATATTCAGTTCCTATAAGATTAAAAAAATAGACTTATAACCTTTTAACTTCCAGTTTTCTATATTTGCTTTACGCCCTATTGGAAAATTATAACCGGAATCCATATAGACAAGTTGTAACGAACTATTTTTTGTGCAATTTACTTAATTTTTCTTGTTTTTAATAGTGTGTTCAGCGTATGTGTATTATTTAAACAAAATTCAACAAACTTTCGTAAAACTTCAAGTTTTTGATACGAATAATAACAAAATTATGTATGCAGCCTGGCCGCGCTCCCACCAAAAACTATGTTCACTCCGCCACTGTTTTCGTAACTGCATATTTATCGTCGAAAAACAACTGTCAATTATCTCATCTCAACATTTCCCCTACTAACTGTTTTCTTCGCTGCTAGTCAACTCATCGAATTAAAAACAAGAACAAAGGTCTTTACGCATTGCATTCGTAACATGCTTCCTATGCTCACACTGGAAAGCTCTCACCACCACCAACACCACCTGCTTCGTTTTAGTCGTCGTCGCTGCTAGCATAGCTCCAGCTAAAACCACTCAATTCATTGGATCGCAGACCACCGGACAAATTACACACTTCGCTTCGTACATATAGTTCAAAATTTATTATTTTTCTTACTTAGCAAATACAAGCGCTAATATTTAAGGTTAATAAAATTGAATTTAAAAAATTATAAATTAATATCGAATTACTTGTTTTCGTTATTAAAAAGCCACGGAAAACGCTCCGCGCGCTACACCAGAAGGTCCTTCGAGCCGGATTTTCGGCTTAATTTTTCCTTCGAAAAGGAATAAAACACGTGATTATGCTTGGTAATTTGGATTGCATCACATTGGACATGGACCAAACTCCTCCAAATCAAGACACTGGTGCGAGTAACATCCGAGTAAAGGTTATGCAACGAGAACATTTGTGGAGTCGCCTTCAAAGTACACGCAATGAAATCTCCGAATTCCCCAATATGTCCGAGTCAGAGTTGAAGGTCAAAGCGGACATGTTAGAGCGACAGTACAACACTTTCGAAAAAATACAGTCCGCGTTAGAAGAACTAGACGAGTCGCAGTTTGGCTTCAATCATCGAGTAGAATTTGAAGCGGCGTATTTCACCATAAAAAGCGCAATCACCACTAGACTAGCGGCGCCAATTATTGATCACCTAAGCAGCACCCGCATTAACTCTTCGCAAATTCATCGCAAGGTAAACCTGCCAAAATTACAACTATCTAAATTTAGTGGGCGTCACACAGACTGGTTAGATTTTTATAATATGTTCCTCGCATTGGTTCATAATAATGCTGATTTAACTGACATCGAGAGATTTCAGTATTTGCGCTCATGTCTCATAGACGGCGCGGCACGGCTAATTCAGTCATTAGAAGTTACACCAGCCAATTATCAAAGGGCGATTGATCTCATCGTGGGTAGATTTGACAACAAGCGGTTTATATTTCAATCGCATTTATCAACAATTTTTGATGTGCAAAAGGTCACCAAGCCGAGTGTGTCAAGTCTACGCGAATTCATCGATAGCATTAATGCTAATCTGCGCGCCATGCAATCGCTGGCGACCACCATTCAAATTGCTGATGGAATAATTCTTCACCTAGTAACGTCTAAGCTAGACGAAAATACGCGAAGCAAATGGGAAGAAGAAGTGGCTGCTAAATTTGATCGAAAGTCAGTACCCACCTTGCAGCTTCCAACATGGAACGATTTGGCAGATTTTCTCGAACGCCGATGCCAAACGTTCAATATCATTGAATCCAATCAATCAAGCTCAAATCGGTCCGCCAGTCACCAAAATCCTACATCGAAACCATATTCATCGAAACAGCTCTCTTTCACCACCACAACTGCGTCGTCGAAATGCCCACTTTGTGAAACAAGGCCATATCATAACGCATTCAATTGTGCCAAGTTCATGAAAATGGATCCTCTTGAGCGGTACAATTTGATTAAACGGTTAAAATTATGTCTCAATTGCTTTGGTTTCAACCACTCGTCGAATCAATGCCCATCACTTCATCGGTGCCAGCACTGTCGAGCGAGCCACCACACTTTGCTGCATCGCACATATGGTAGCAAGGCAGACGACAACAACAAAAGGGAAGATGGGAATGCTGAGAAATCAACAACGCTACAGGCTGGTATCGTTACAGGTGAAGTCATTCTCGCTACAGCTCTAGTTCGTTTATGTAACACTGCGGGAAGCTCTCTCATGGCACGTGTGTTGTTGGACTCAGGTTCTCAGCTCCATTTTGTCACCGAAAGAATTGCACAGCATCTTCGGTTACCGCGCAAAAAGCGCAGCATAGAGGTAACGGGCATTGGATCTACAACAACGAAAACGCAGCAAGTATGCTGTGTTGTACTAAAATCGCGCCATACAGCATTTTCGTCGACTTTGGAAGCGGTTATCATACCAACAATAACTTCGTGTCAACCCAGCAATCGTGTCAGCATTGAGAAATGGAATTTGCCTAACAACATAAAGTTGGCAGATGAACAGTTCTACGAGCCAGCAACGATCGATTGTCTTATTGGAGCAGCGTTGTTTTATGATTTGCTTCTCGTCGGTCAAATCAAGCTGCGCAACAATTCGCCGGTTCTGCAGAAAACTAAACTCGGTTGGATAGTTTCTGGCATCGCTAACTCATCTGCACCAATAGCTTCATCACCAAAAACCTCATCGTTGAATAAATCATCGGCCTATATGGCATTTCTCACCATGTCCGAAGAACCAGTTCTCGATCAGCTGTTGCAAACCTTTTGGGCATTGGAAGAACACCACACCAATTCATCAACGTCAGTTTCGGCAGAGGAGCAAGCATGTGAAGATCTCTTTGCAACAACCACAACCAGATGTCCAAAAACCAACCAATTCATCGTTCGCTTACCGTTTAAAGAAGACCCCAGCAGCCTAGGGCAATCATATGAAGCTGCTTTCAAAAGGTTGGTATCTCTTGAGTATAAATTTTCTCGCAATCCCGCACTCGTCAACACATATCGTGAATTCATGAACGAATATATTAACATGGGGCATATGACACTGCTTAATAACCCCGAAGAGGCTCGTAATTTTATCCCCCACCACTGCGTCACAAAGGCGGACAGCAGCACCACAAAACTCCGTGTGGTCTTCGATGCGTCGTGCCGAACTTCGAATGGGAAGTCTTTGAACGACATATTGCTCGTCGGTCCGACGCTACAGGACGATATTTTCACAATCCTGCTTCGCTTTAGAGCTTACAAATACGTGTTAATGGCTGACATCGCTAAAATGTACCGCCAGGTACAAATGAACTCAGCTGACTCTCCTTGGCAGTGCATTTTGTGGCGAGAATCACCGAACACTTCTGTGCAAGTGTACAAGCTGCAGACCGTCACATATGGTACAAGCAGCGCACCATATCTCGCCACAAAGGCTCTACAACAGTTGGCAAAGGACGAGGCAAAATCGCTACCAATTGGTTCAGTTGTTACGCTCAGAGATTTTTACGTCGATAATCTCATGACAGGTGGCGCTACCACTGATGAAGTCGTCGAAATTAAACAGCAAGTTGTTGAGTTGCTTAAACATGGGGGCTTTCCCCTACGAAAATTCGCCACTAATGACAATTCCATCATCTCTGACATTCCTCAAGCTGACCGTGAAGAAATCGTACAACTCGGTGACGTAGACTACATTAAAACACTTGGGTTGAAATGGTCACCATCGAGCGATAACTTCGTGTTCAGCTACACCGAATCATCGTCGTCGTCTTCGAAAACAACAAAAAGAGCGATTTTATCCCAAATTGCAAGCTTCTTCGATCCACTTGGATTATTGAACCCTATAATAGTTTCATGCAAAATATTAATGCAGCATCTATGGGCACTGAAACTAGATTGGGATGAAAGTGTCCCACAAGATGTTTACACCCAATGGCAAGATTTTTGTCGGCAGCTATCTCTGGTTCAAAAAATCCAAATTCCAAGGTATGTACCTTTCAACACCGCTACTGAAATTCATGCCTTTGCAGATGCCAGCACGAAGGCTTACGGCGCCTGCATCTACATGGTCACACGCGATTCTAATGGTACGACGTCATCGTTGCTGTCCGCTAAGTCTCGTGTAGCTCCAAAGAAGGAAGTTAGCTTACCTCGACTTGAATTGTGCGCTACATTGCTGCTGGCGGAACTGCTAAAATCAATTATTGACATATTTTCACCAAGTCCTGAAGCCATTCATTGCTGGTCAGACTCGACCATCGCGCTATCCTGGATCAAGGGAGAGCCGTCGCGTTGGACAGTATTCGTTGCGAACAGAGTAACCAGAATTCAACAATTAACATCACAATTCAAGTGGCACCATGTAACATCAGCCGACAATCCTGCTGACGTCGTTTCAAGAGGAGCATCGGCTCATTACATAATCGCCAATTCTTTATGGTTTCATGGGCCAAAATTTTTACTCTTGCCTCAAGAGCATTGGCCACGTTCATCGTTTGATATACCTTCTGACATACCTGAACAGCGATGTCAACGATTCGCATTGGTTGCAAAGGAACAATATGATATGATCGCCTCTCACAAACACATAACCAACTTCCAAAAATTTCTTCGGATATTTACGTACGTGAGGTGGATCATTCAACGCAAGCGGGGATTGATGATTACATCCGGCGAAATAGAGGCAACGTTAGAAATGGTCTGCAAAAATATTCAGCTATTGTATTTTCGTGACGAGTACCAAAGGATGTTAAAAAATTTACCCCTTCATCCATCGTCAAGGCTTTTACAGCTCGCACCATTTTTGCACAATCAATTAATTCGAGTCGGCGGCAGAATAAAAAATTCTACGTTAGCTTTCAACGCCAAACACCCCATCGTGCTGCCCCATGCTCACCCTTTCATTCACACTCTCATCACTTACTATCATCGGCAACATCTTCATGCAGGCGCTCAAACATTGCAAAATATTCTTCGTGACAAATTTTGGATACTCAACGCAAGAAAGGTCATCAGGCAAGTAATCCACCACTGCATAATTTGTTATCGCCTTCGCCCTGTTGTCACTGAGCAAATAATGGGGGCACTACCTTCGCAACGCATCAGTCCATCACACCCATTTGAGACTACAGGCATTGACTATTGTGGCCCCGTGTTAATGACTCAGAAAATCAGAGGCAGGGCTGCAATAAAAGTGTATATTGCAGTTTTCATCTGTTTTAGCACCAAGGCTATTCACTTAGAGGTAGTGCCTGATTTATCAACGGCAGCATTCATCGCTGCACTTAAACGATTTGTGGCTCGGCGAGGACGATGTCGGCTTATCTACTCCGATAATGCAACTAATTTTCTCGGGGCAAGCCGTGAGTTACGACATCTGCTTGAAGCATTCGTTACACAGCAGCACATCAACTCGGTAGAAAACTTTTGCCGTGAAGAAGGAATACTGTGGAAGTTTATCCCACCCCGATCACCACATTTCGGTGGTCTGTGGGAGAGCGCGGTAAAAAATGCAAAACATTATCTACGCCGGTCAATTGGAAACCACATACTCTCATATGATGAACTTCATACAGTAGTATGTCAAGCGGAAGCAATGGTAAATAGTCGCCCGTTGACACCGATATCGTGTGATCCTAACGATCTCCAACCACTCACCCCTGCACACTTTTTGATAGGGCGTACCCTCACCGCTATCCCCGAACCACCACCAGAATCAGCTCAACTCAGCCTCCTAAAGCGATATAAAATTGTCCAGTGGATCCAAGTGCAATTTTGGCAACGATGGCAGCAGGATTATTTGAAGGAGCTGCAGACCAGATGCAAATGGCAATCAGCACAACCCAATCTGAAGGTAAATGATTTAGTATTGCTGAAAGATGACTTGGCACCACCACTAAAGTGGCCGATGGGCCGCATCATCGACGTCATGCCAGGTGAGGATGGCAGAGTAAGAGTGGTACAAGTAAAAACCGCAGAGGGAATATATAAGCGCTCTATCACTAAGGTATGCAAACTTCCAACCGAATTTTCACCAACTGCAGAAACCAATTGAAAGCATAGCTTTCAAGGGGGGAGGATGGCCGCGCTCCCACCAAAAACTATGTTCACTCCGCCACTGTTTTCGTAACTGCATATTTATCGTCGAAAAACAACTGTCAATTATCTCATCTCAACATTTCCCCTACTAACTGTTTTCTTCGCTGCTAGTCAACTCATCGAATTAAAAACAAGAACAAAGGTCCTTACGCATTGCATTCGTAACATGCTTCCTATGCTAACACTGGAAAGCTCTCACCACCACCAACACCACCTGCTTCGTTTTAGTCGTCGTCGCTGCTAGCATAGCTCCAGCTAAAACCACTCAATTCATTGGATCGCAGACCACCGGACAAATTACACACTTCGCTTCGTACATATAGTTCAAAATTTATTATTTTTCTTACTTAGCAAATACGAGCGCTAATATTTAAGGTTAATAAAATTGAATTTAAAAAATTATAAATTAATATCGAATTACTTGTTTTCGTTATTAAAAAGCCACGGAAAACGCTCCGCGCGCTACACCACAGCCCATTAAATTTTAATACAATAAAGTTCAAGTTTGATGCTGAAAATCCTTTGATTTTTGATTTTTTTTTGCCAGCGGTGCTGTGCATTTGTACGAAAAAATTGTAGAACGTACCTTTTACGTTTTATTAACAACACAAATCTAGACGTCGCACATAGGGGTATTTGATGCATCCAGGCGGTCATAAGTCTATTTTTTTAAACTTATCGTACGAACAAAAAAAATATACAACCTGCCACAGTTGAATAGTTGCGGAACAATAGGCAACCCCTACCCCGAAGCTTTTAGTTATACTTCCACGCATTTCCACGTTACATTACTAGTTGCGTTCTATGGAATGTAGCTTTGATAGTATACTGAACAAAAATTAGCTTCCGACAGCTACCGATGAGCTTTTTATGACCAATAATTAAGATAGATCTAAAAAAAAAATCGTTTCCGTACATATTTTGTCATTTTTAAGTATGTCCTTTGCTTTAGAGTCACCAACTAGTTCCTGCTATAGAGTAATAACTCAAAAATATTTATTTGATAAGATGCATCGACAAAATTCTATGAATTTTGGGAACAAAATAAAGTTTCTTCAAAATGATATATTATCATCTGACACCTTCTCCGATGAACAAATAAGAGATATAAAGCACAAATTTTCACAACTAAAAGCACAGTTTATACAAAGGTGGATAAAAGCCCGTGGAAAAGAAGTTTTTTTAAAAGTAACGTAACATGGCTACAAGGAACATTTTCAATTCCCAAAGGTATGCAACAGCCGCGATCTGGTCGTGTTGAACAGGTTACTCCTAAACTCTGATCCACTCATTAGTGGTTTCAGGCCAAAGCCAAAAAAGCAACCAAACCGTGTTCAAAGGAAGAAATTGATATGTTGCTTCCAGCTGAACCAACTAAGGATGACACGAAGTCTGGAGAGTTTTCAAAAGAGAAAGAAGGGTCCGATGAAGAATCTTGGCACTCATCATCATCCTAAAATAGTTTTTTACACAAATTTTGTTTTAGAATTCAATTACACATTTATTATCCATTGAATTACAAGATAAAATTGCTTATTTCCATTATTTTCCTTATAACTTATATCTCAAGGAAGTCCATACGCATTTTAATCATAAAAACAAATTTTTGAGCAACATTATAAAAAAAAATTATTTGTCTATTATTCCCTTAGTTAAAGTTGAATTTAATTTTTAAACAGGTGGTAACAATGCCGCATGTTGTTTAGAAATGAAGCCTTTCAAAACCATTTCAATTGATACCCATATTGTAGTAATTCAGTTAATTTAACTATATTTAAGTTTTTACCAGGTGGCAACTCTTTGCATGTACTAACCTCTATATAAACATCGCCGAGACGAACACGTATGTAGGGCTGCGTGTTTCTACAATCGGACCACGGCAACATAGAGTCCATCGGTGTCAAACTTTAACCAACTTTATTTTCGTTTCTTTGGAGGAATAATTGTTCGTCCTCCACCTATATTTACTTGATTTTAAACATTTACAATTTTAGACATCGTCACACGTCTTTTCTAAACATTTTGAAATAAAATTTTCATAAAAATAATTTTGCCCACCTAAATAGGCAAAATACCCCTATGTGCGTCGTCAAATTAGCGGCCTTTCTTACTGTTAACGACAACAGCTGATTTGGCGCTAACGAATATTGTTAGGGAAACGTTTACCGAATAGCTAAATTGTTAAAATTTTCGTTTAGCTCACTTAGGGCCATTTTCCAATGTAAGCAGTAAAGTTGCCTTTACTAACAGGGCAGATAAATTGTTCCTCACTTTAAAGTGTTTCGGTTTTCTTGTCTTACCGGTAAAAATAAATTTGTTATTCCGTAGAGTGAAACTTCACTACATTTTCGAGAGTGAAACCTCACTACATTCGTCATATAATTTCGAAGGTTGGCAATGTAACATAAGCAAATATAGAGCAAGAGCAACTGTTAGCAAAAACCAAACCTTGGTTGAAATATCTAATATAGCTGACTCATGAACCAAAACCGAACAAAAATTTAAAGTTGGGTACACATTTTTAGAGGTTGCATCGGGTGAGCAACAATTTATCGATTCGAGAAATGAATGCGCTGATGACAAAACGAAAACTCGTATATCTAGACGATAAAGTGGCCGATAATCTAAAGGTTAGAAGAGGAAACGGCCCTTAACAATAACAAGAGTTGTTAAAATCTCGTAGTAAATCGCACCACAGATCGCCCTAACTAGGGGCCGTTTTCTAATGTAAGCAGCATAGCTGCCTTTACTAACAGAGCAGATAAATTGTTCCTCACTTTAAAGTGTTTTGGTTTTCTTATCTTACCGGTACAAATAAATTTGGTTTTCCGTAGAGTGAAACTTCACTACATTTCCGAGAGTGAAACTTTACTACATTCGTCATAAAATTTCAAAGGTTGGCAATGCAACATAAGCAAATATAAAGCAAGAGCAACTGTTAGCAAAAACCAAAACCTTGGTAGAAATATCTAATATATCTGACTCATGAACCAAAACTAAACCAAAATTTAAAGTTGGGTACAAATTTTTAAAGGTTGCATCGGGTGAGCAACAATTTATCGATTCGAGAAATGAATGCGCTGATGAGAAAACGAAAACTCGTATATCGAGACGATAAAGTGGCCGGTAATCTAAAGGTTAGATGAGAAAACGGCCCTAAGTCGTATGACTGAGCAATTATATATAGATACGTTGAGAGTGAAGCAAGAAAATGTTTAAACGCTTATATTTTAGCACCGATTTGAAATCCCAAAATTTTTGGATAACATATGGGCTTGCACTTTAATTTGATGTACAACTCATTTCTGTAGCTACTCCAGATCGCCCTAACTAAGTCGTAAGTGCAATTATATATAGATATATAAAAATGCTGTCTTCGTATACCACGGTCGTCAAAACTCGAGAACGGCTAAACCGATTTGAATATTTTTTTTTTTGTGTTGTTCGGTATAATACCAGGATCAATGATAGCACAAAAAATTGGAGGGTTTCCACCTATTTGCAATATTTTAAAACCCAATTATATTGCTAAAATAAATGAATTATTACAATATAGGTATCAAATTAAAGAGGTTTAGGAAATATAACTGTTGGAAATATTTTTGATATATAAATATATATATTTTATAAATTTGAAAATTTTAACTCAGTAAAATTGATAAAATAAATGAAATATTGTCATGTGGGTGTCAAACTAAAGAGTTTTAAGAAGGCTTACAGCCGAAAATATGTTTGAGGGTTGCCACCTGTTTGAAAGTTTAACTAAAGTACATTGATAAAATAAATGAAATTTTACAATATGGGCACCAAATGAAAGACGTTCAAAGTAGGGTTGCCACCTGTTAAAAAATTTAGCACAATTTAATTGATAAACTAAATGATATATTACAATATAAATATTTAATGAAAGAGGTTTAAGAAAGATAATTGTTGGAAATATGTTTTAGTAGAATTGCCACCTCTTTGAAAATTTAAACTCAGTTAAATTGATAAATAAACGAAATACTGCAACTTGCGTATCAAACTTTAGATTTTTAAGAAGGCTTACAGCCGAAAATATGTTCAGGTTTGCCACCTGTTTGAAAATTTAATTTAATTTAATTGATATAGGAATCAAATAAAGGAGATTTACGAAGGAAGACTTTTGGAAATACCTTTGAGGGGAGTTGCCACCTATTTGAAAATTTTAACTCAGGTAAATTGATTA